TGTCTTGAAAAGACTCTGCTTTGATTTCAAAATGATGCAGCTATCGTACTATACCTTATATTGTTATAACATTTCAAAAAATTGAAATAATTTTCCACGTTGTTTTCCACGATATTAGATTTCCGTTATATACAATGGGAAATTCTCTCCCATAATGCATTGCGTATGGCCACGTGCTCAGGAGTTTCAATTTGGCGCAAACTGCCTTAATGTTCATACTGTTGTGTTCTCATTGGCAGTGCCATTTGAATGCAGGTAATGCTAACATATATATTCATATTTGCTTTTGGCATATTAGAATTGTGCCAAAAATTAACTGATAAAATATTCCATAAATAATTTAGGCCAGGGAAACGCATTTTTTACATTTTCTTAATATTTTCTAAATGATTGAATTCCCCAGAGGGAGGTTATACAGGAGCTGGCAGAGCGAATGCAGTTGCAATTACAGCAAGGAAGCAAAAGAATGGCTGATGCATACCAGAGTACGTGTACTAAACCCGATGATGCTGGAACAAGTTTGAACGATGGTGTCAAAACACCATCGATGTTGGAGATATGGGTTGCCAACACACAGCCTGGGTTAAGACCAGAAGACGAGGACCTAGCTAAGGTAAAACCATGTTTCTGTTAAGTGTTTTCTTTGGGGGTTTTCCAAACTGAAATTTGTTTTTTAAATTCCTCATAAATTACCAAGCAGTAACCCAAAATGAGATACTCATGTTCCCTTTATCAGAGCTTTCTGAAAATATTGTATAAGTACTTTGCTCATATGATAATAGTTGTATAGTTCTAGCTTCACCCACAAGTACTTTAGTAAAGAGGAAACAATGCTATTGTCTTTGTTTTACTGAGTTTCTATCTGAATCAGTTGTCTTTCTGAGTAATCAGTATCACATTATGAAATTTTTTTGACATCATTTGTATTTTTGAAGAAAACTTGTGAAATTGCAAATAATTCTTTGTGAAAATTTGCTGATCAAAAGGTTTCATTAATAAATGAGCTTATTTCCATGAAAACAATGACTTTTCCCAATAATGCTAATCTTAATAATGCTAATTGCCATTTTGGATAGAAAATTGGTTGATACATTGTGTCACAAAATATGTTCTATTTAGATCATGTTATTTATTAGGTTTTAATTTGATTATTAAAACTCTGAAATTTGGGGAACAATCAATGACTAAAAATGTAAGTTTACTGTATTGATAATTGGTTGTTGTGTAAACAATGTAAACATTGCAATGGTGTACTAGTTAGTTTTATTTTTTTTTTTGAAGGATTTCTCTGCTGAAGAAGTTGCTGAGGTCGTAAATGATGGTTTTAGTCCTTGGGAACATGCTAAGCAGAGACAAATGAGCAAACCTAAACTACAAAAAAAACCAAAGTTTGCTGAAAAGCCTCAAACTCTGGCACCGATTGATTCTTATTCTGATATGTCAGCTACAGAGTCTCAGTGGCAGGATTTATCAATGGTTAACTCAACCGCAAGGATGTATCAGTCTATTGGCAGAATTCAGCGACGGACTGTTGCTGTAGAAAGGCATGATGGATACATGGAACGGATGATTCTGAAGAAAGAGGCCCTCGCAATTGAAATGAAAGAACGCCTGCAAAGACATCGTCAGAAATATGATGAGATGATGAAGAAACGGAAGCAGGAAACGAGTAAATTCCTTCCAAATAAGGCTACATTGTATGCAAGCTATCGTAAAATTGCTCAAGGGATGGCTCAACCAAGACCGACTGCCTTGGAGAACTCAAAAGTGGTCAGAGTTGGCAACAAACTGTATATAAAAAAAGAGGATAAACTTTACGCAGTTGGTGAGAGTGCTGAAAGAATTGTTGCAGAGCACAGTACTGCGAATAACGTCCGCGTCGTCAACTTGGATGAGCAGTGCAAAATAGAAGTGGAAAGTAACAGTTTATTTACAGACTCTGATTCGGGAATACATTCCTATCAATATAAATATGAAATCTAGTAACAAACCAGACCCGACTGGCATTGCTGATGAATCAGATAAGGTGAGTTTCAACTCTAGGATTAACAGTTTTAATTGTTTACTCCATTTCCTGCATTCACATGTTTAGCCTTGAAGCAACAGGTGGTCATGACTCGTATGATTCGTGCAGTATGTCATTTTACTTTTTTGAAGAAATAATCAACTATCTAACACTTCTACAAAGCAATATACGAATAAAATCAAAAAAAATGATTTGTTTCTGGGCCAGTCATGACTTTTTTCAAAAAATCACATTTTTCGAAACATTTCAAGACAGAAACATTTTTTTTTAGTCTGCTCAATAATTTTAAGTTGACTAGTTCATTGGAAACATATTTATTTTAATGAAATATTATTATTGAACTGTGGATAAAATGCATCTGTCTGTCTACTTTCTTGAATGCTCCGATTGTTTTTTTTTTACAAATATTCTAAATATTCGCTGCTACTGCAATTAACTGACAATTCAACTTAAATCTCATCCACTGTTTCCAGAAAATTAAAAAGTTGTCGGCATCACTGACATTAAGACTGATATAAACATTCAACACTGTTTTAAATAAACAGCCTTTAATCTTTTTACCGTCAGAGTTCCCGCCCAAATTATTCTGCACATTTTTCTTATATTTCTGGAAATGAACCCTAATTTTTGAGGCAACTGGCAAAATTTGCATCAATTTTCAGTTTTTACTTAAAAAAAGTTTGAATATTTTTGTCCCAATCTGATGAAGGAAAGTGCAGGCTATAAATAGGACTATTTTGTGAATTTGTGATAAATAAAAAGGTGGTTAAAAGGTTAATGTAAGCAGATAAACTATCTTTTGTCCTATTGTGAGTCATCCAGCCAGATAATTACCCACAAGGCATTGTGTCCCCCATATATTATGCAATTGAACACGCGTGACAATGTAAACAAGGAGTTTGTTGAGTGATATCTGTTCAACAAATAAACTCCTGACAATAGGGAATATAGTTGGTCTCCACTATCCGGATAGTATTATTTAAATTAACATTTACTGAAAAGATCGTCCCAGCTCCAGTCGAGTCAAATCATTTATTATACATACAAGGTCAAATTTGATGGATTGAAAAAAACTGGCAAAAAACAAGCTGCTTTATGATTGGTCAGAGTGTTAAAGCGGGAGGGTCGTCACCTGCACATGCACGGGAATTGAGTCCTAAGCGACGATAACAACACACGCTAAAAACGCAAAGACTCAAATGTAAACATTGACACGCTATGGCCATCTGATGCATGCACAGGTGACGACTCACTCGCTTTAAATAGCCAGCACATATAGGTATAGCTTGGCATTCATTCCTCAGCATGAAATTTTTAAATGAAAGATTAAATAATTAGTATCATGAAATTGTAATACCTGATTCTTTCAAAAATTCTTTTAACTTTAGCCATTCTTATTGTTTTTTTAACCTTTTCACCACCAAACTTTCTCGCCAAATTTTTTCTGCACTTTTTTCGTATATTTCTCAATATTTCTGAAAAATAACCCTAATTTTGGAGCTAACAGACAAAATTTGAGTCTATTTTCAGTTTTTACTCAAAAAATTCGGCTATTTTTGTCCCAATTTTATGAAGGAAAGTGAAGACTATAAACAGGACTGTTTTGTGAATTAGTGATGAAAATCAGGAACTGGTGGTAAAAGGGTTAGAAACATTAAGAATAACCTTAAAAAGACAAGAGTCGCCATATACCTACCACCCAACACAAACAACAAACTTGGCTATGGTTCAGACCAGTGTTTGAAATTTACTGGCCACACGCTAGAGATAACTTTCTAATTGGTCTAGCTGGTTAAAATTAAAACTTACATGCCCGATGGTTTGGTAACTTGTAACTATCATCAGTCTCAATACTAATTTTTAAAATACTATTTTATAATTCGATAGAATTGAACACTTTTTTTTGCTTGTGGCTTATACAAGTGTTGTGAAACAAAGAACGCAACAACTTGAAATGGGAAACTTTAATTGTTCGACAGAATATCTTTGTGATAATTACCAAGAATTCTGGCAGGGATGATAAAATTGAGAAAATTTCAAACACTAAAAAATTAGGATATATTAGTTCAGACAAGTTATGACTTAATTCAGAACTTTATGCAGAACTGCAATGTTTTATTGCTGATTTGCAATCAGTAAACAGTGACTATCATTGAAAGTAAGGTTACCATTGTAATAACGTTTTTATACCATACTTAGGTAATCTTTTAACTCTTCCCCCGTGATATATTGATGCCTTGTATGTAGGTTTAATAGGTCATGGCTATGTAATTGTTTGTATTTGAACTGCTACAACACTTTTCTTTGTTCACTGTTATTGTTTACTTTTTGTTCTGTTCCGATCCAATAATATTTGCCTTGGCATACTCTGTTGTATAAACATCTCTCGTTGGAGAAAGAAAAGCATTCCCAGGCGCTTGGTGATCGTGGAAACGTCATGTTTTCTTGCATTTATAATTAGGATATATTTTTTCAGCTGCAAGACATGTACACTACCACCGAGATAAGTCTTGTCGATTCTGGTGTAGGTTATATGTCAGACTCGTCCTCGGTCTTCAAAATTAACAAGCGTATTTCATCGGACATGTCGTCTATTTCCAAACCTGAGGAGACTGTCCGAAATGCCCAGTACGTTGACAAGGCGAGCCGGAATACAGCAGGTAGGTGGCATCTCTAAAATGATTCCTAAGTCTACATTCCATAACAGTTCCAGTTGACCTTTCACCTTCCCGTGCAATGCACTGTAAAACATGTCGCTTAAAACTGTTTTATTCCCTTGCCTGTATCCATAGATGAAAGGAAAAGTATATGAGGGTGAAAATGTCTTCGTCAAGCAATTCTTATCTCATCATCTTCAAACTCGGATATCATAAACTCAATCAGTATATTCTTCTGTCTAATTTTATTGTAGTATAATTTAACTGATTTTTAAGATATTTTGAAAATGTTAATTAAAATTGTTTTTTTGCCAATAATTTATCCAAATGTTTTCAAAATTGGAAATCTTACCAACCATAATAAAATGTTAACTAAGTTCAAGATATACAGTAGAATTTGGCTCATTGGCTTTATGTGTAGGGCATACCGGCTTGTTAAATTTTCATTCATTGTTAAATTACCTTTTCATTCATAGGCAGTATAATTGTAGTGTAGTACCTGTATATAACACATACACTGCTTATTAATTTTGCCCATTTTACTCTTAATAATAAATCACCACTATCAGAATTAGTAAATTTTATGACTTTCATAATGAAATCCTGACAGCATAATATTGGATGAAGAGAAGGGTCTATGACAAGATTATGTGTGTGTTGTGATAGACTCATCATTGTTTAAATAACTGAAAAATGCTTATTCATAAATCTGATTTTTTTTTCCAGAAGTTGAGAACTGGCAAGAATTGTTTGAAAGACCAACAGCCCAACAGCGAAAACAGTTCTACCAGCAGAGACAAAAGGAAAAACAACACAAGATGCAAAGAGTGCCTCAGATCATGTATCATAGCGACAAAGTTAGACTGGTGGATAACGTTGCTGGACAACGTATTCTCAAAGAACTTTCTGTGATGGATAGAATTGGGAAACATCCAGATGGTGAAATGCAGTGGCGTTCCATAGCGCCCATTCCGGCGCGTCTCAGTGTGCACACACATGGAGAGTGAGTATTCATGTTTACATTTGTATTTTGTTTGAGTCCTTTGGAGATGTATTTGTTAATTTTGTACTATAAATGTATTAACTATGTTGCTGACACCTAAAGATGTTTGAGTCGATTTAAAGAATATATGTCTTGTTTGCCATGCTTTCATTCACAGTCAGCTGGTGCACAAGTGCGATTTGTACTATATGGGGGGGCCGCCATCTTGAATGCGGCATAAAACTAAATAAATAGACAAGTTGTGAAATGCGTTTTACAGATTCTTACAAAAAAAATACCAATCTTTCACAGCCAAACGATCCGTTGGGGTAATATTAAGCCAATCGCTAACAAAATTCGGCCAAATTTGTTGTATTTGTGTGGAAATTGTCATCTAACTGTAAGGTCGTCGCTGATTGGCTTCTGAGTTAGAATGTCAATTTTTGGTTTCATGTACCCCAGGAAAGTTTTCTATGTTCTTTGTGTTATTCGGTGTTCGTATGCAAGGGATTTTTCCACTGATTTCCATTATATACAACAGGAGGTTGTATTGCATTGCATGTGCAGTAACATGCTCAGTAGTGCAAAATTTGAATTTCTATCCCATAATGCATTGCATATATGTGCAGTAACATACTCAGTAGTACAAAATTTGAATTCCAGTCACTGCCTTAAAATACATAATACTTTCAGAAAGCATTGATCCCATTATTGCGGTAATGTCTACCATTACAAAACATATGAAAATAATAAAATTGAAAGTAACATTTAAGCAGTTTGCTAATCAATTCAGTCTGCTTGCAGGAAAACTGGGAATACTAAATTCGGACTGCTGAATATGTCATGGACATCCGGACTGCCGAAGTTCCAGCATGACTCCAGAATTGGCAATGAATGCAATATACCGCAGCTGGATATTAGCAGAGATCAGGGCAGACAAAGATTACAAGATTACATGCTACCATCATCTTCGTCGTTCATTGCGAGTAATTTACACCGTAATTGGCAAGCTAAGAGGTAGGACAGTTCATTTAAGTTTTAAGTGGTGGCGGATATAGATGATGGGGTAGATGTTTTGAAGGTTTCTTGCATTTGTTTTTTTTAAATATATTGAACTAAATCAGTATTGTTTTCATTTACTGATATTGTCAGAAATATGCTTACATAGTAAAATTATTGGTAAGTATTCAAATGAGCTGTAGTGGAAATGAATCATATAATATCTAAACTTTAAACCAAGTCTTCTGAAAACATTTTGGGATTTTCTGAGGTGTTCAGCTGGCTCAACCGTGGCTATTTTATAATTTTTTTTTCTTAAACCATGGCCCAATGCAAAATTACCACAACTGGTTTATTCTGAGGCATTTCCAATGCTTATGATTATGCATGATGTGCAGTGTTCTTTTGGAACCAGAAAGTGGAATACTTCAAAAGAGGAAACTATATAGACATGCGCTTACGCAAAGAATTCTATATGTCAGGTCATGTGTGCATGGAACAAGTTAGATTAAGGGCTGCTTTTCTAAATGATTGGCAACTTCCAATTCATGCTACTCATTAGCATATTTATCACCTCGAAAAGCGTAACAACTATAAGTGCGACAGAACAGACCAGTCATGGAAAATTTGCGTCAATGCGCGAGATTCTACAAGCTCGTTCTTTAGAGAACTATCATATAAAACAATAAAATTGCCCTGGCTGGTTCATTAATTTTGATGTCTTTTTAAACTAGTTTTTAAACAAGTTAACATTGGGGCGAGTCTTTGGCATTGGCTGTCAGTCTGCCTCTTAAAAACAAAAGATGACACAATTTCCTTTAGTTGCCAAAGAGGGCATTGAAAGAAGTAGCGTTGATGATGAATTGTAGTACATAGTTTGAGTAGTATTATCTAGTTTGATGACTTAAGTCAAGAAGATTATCCAGAACTCCATACTGGTATTAAAGATTTTACTAAATATTTGATTATAAATTTCTTCAAATGTATAAAAAACGACATTGTTGCTGAAATCTTTTTTATAGCGGTTACAGTAAAGTGAAAAGTTTCAGATTCTAACTTTTGATAAAACAAATTCAACTTTAATTGGTCTCACATATTCATTGACATGAACAAAGTTGTCAATATTTGGTGTCAGTGTAGAATTAGCAATGAGCTCAGATTTGTAACATGAAATTCTAGAGAAAAAAAATTACTCAAATTATTTTTTGATTTTACTTTGCTCATTTAAAGAAACAAGTTATTTGCTCTTTGTCATTTATTCAAACTTGTTGCTTAGCAAAATATAACAAATTAGTACTTACTCTTAAATTATTTGCATTTGTAATACTAGTTGTTCAGGTTCACCCATTAAGCTGGAGTATACTTCCTATGGAAGTTTCCCTCTAATGTTATACAGGAAAAAGATTTGCTGAAATTTTAAATTGTTTATTTCCTAGGTGTAATTTACTCACTTCTTGTTCGTCGCAAGCAACACATTCAGACTATCAGTGGGAAAGCCATAAAACAATCAAGATTTCTACTGCATCTGCAGATACTACTTTACCACCACGAGACGGCAAGATTCAAAATTGTGTCACAACAAATGTCAAACAGCAGGTCAGTGTTTCAAGTGAACTCTTAGAGTACCGATAACCTTTAACCCCTGGAATACCACAATTTTTTCCATCGAAGTGATGTTAGTAACATTTTGGACATTTTCATGTTTTTTCTGTAATTACTTTTGTTTATTTTAGACTTGACAAATATTATTGAAAAGAAAAAAATATGAAAAAAAAATGAATTATGAAGTTTTATTTCATGACAGGTGACACGTGTTCAAGAGATTAATCATACATTTTATCTGTCACCAGCACATGTTCAAATTTCATGTAATGAATTTTTGTTCTATCTGTTGTATATGTCGCTATGGATCCCATATTCAACACGACACTGTGCGACAACTATAGCGACTTAATTGTATTATCTACTAATCTCCATATATGGTAATTTACTTCCCAGATGCCGCCGTCCTTGAATCTTCCTAAGATGAGACCCACAGCTATTATCGGCACAAAAGCATTGAATAAACTGAATAGTAATTCAAAACTGCCGGATATAACAGCTTCATTACGATTCCTGACTAGCAGAAAGGATGAAGTTCCCCAGAATGCATAAATTGTCCCTCTCCATGAATTTATCTGTAAGGTCAATAAAATCGGTGCAATATACTGTCAACTTGTTTTTTTGTCTCTTTCCATTCCTATAAGCCCTCTAGTGACAGCAGTTTTGTGATGTCAAAATGACGTACATGAATTAAAAGCAAATCAGAAGTACAATTTGGTTGTGTTCATCATCTAACCTTTTTACCACCAGACTTTCTCACCCAAATTTGTATGGACTTTTTTTTATATTCTTCAATATTTCTAGAAATGAACCCTAATTTTGGCACCACCATTCAAAATTTCAGTCAGTTTACACTCAAAAAATGTGGGTACTTTTTGTCCCAATCTTTTGAAGGAAAGTGCAGACTATAAATGGGACTATTTTGTGAATTTGTGATGAAAAAAGGAAATTTGTAGTGAAAATGTTAAATATTATTATATAGTAAAATTTCCCAAAAGCATGATGTTCATTGGTTGACGACAACAGATGAAACTGCATCTACTCTTTGAGCAGCTTTTATTTCATAAAAGCGTTTTGTCACTAGAGGGCTCTGACTTATAATAAAGGTTTATTGTCAGAAAATGCTGATGCAATAGAATGTATGATATATTCGCGCACCAAAGTGCTGTAATTTTTCGATTGTTTTCATTGCATTTACCCGACTATCGATAGAATCGGTCATATTCACTATCATTTGAATGATGGTATGCTGTATTATGGTTAGTTTAATTTGATTGTTAGATATGTGTGCAGAATATTTGGTAATGATATATAAACGTTCATCATTAAAACTAACAGATATCATTTATGTTTGATACCATTTAAATATTTTGCTATCCTATCCTCCCATTGGCTGCGGAATCGTACGTTCCTCATAAAATAAAATGATTATCACCAGTAACTAAAAACATACAATTACCATGCATTAATTATGCAAATTAACGAATTATATTGTACAGATTGACTCCAAACAATAATCAGACGTGAAAATAATGAGCTGTGCCTCTGGACCAAGCTTCAATTCATTTAAGGAAATTGTTAAAATGTAAACAAAATATGCTGAAATAATTAATGTTAATTAATGTGGATAGACTAATTTCCAGGGTCAGACATTCAACTAAATAAACAGTACACAGATACCAAGTTTTCAGTTAACTTGGAAATCTATTGTTACTGGTATACAGAATATACAAGTGGAAAACAGTTATGGTAATTAGTTACTTAATATGCACAGCTTAATTTAAAACAATTACCAGGTGCAATTTTCACAAAAGTATGCATGTACTTGAGTCTCCATCCATTTGAACAAGCTGTTTGGATACAAACAAAACATTTAATTACTATGTAAATTAGCTTATTAAGATTATTAATTATTAAATCAGTTAATGTTCTACAGAAACAGTAATCATGTATCAAGTTTCAATTTATTTGAGCAAACAGGAGTAGAGCACAGAAATGCTATGGTTAGAAGTTTACGTAACCATGGTACTACTAGCTCCCAATCAAACTTCATATAATCACTAGTAGGATTCCCTTTCATTACTTAATATTGCAGAACAAAAATTAGTAGAATTGAGAAGTGCGCCCTCTGATGACCAATAATAGAAATACATGACTGACCATGATTAGGATATGGTACTATTGTATATGATATTGAGTCTCGCACAGTATTTTTTTGAAATATATTGACTTTCCATTGTTATGGTGCAATGTTTATATTGTTAATACTGTGTACTGCACAGAATAGAGGGTGCACTTCATGAATTACATACAAATCCATTCAAATTACACAATGCCATACTGTTTTATTGAAATAAAAATAACTAAATATTTTTAAGACAAATTTTTACTGTAAAATTAGCACATGATTGGCATTCAAAAGTTTGGAAAATTAAAAGATGAAAATGAAAAATTGTACAAATTATTGAAATACAATCTCATTTGCAAGTCTGATACATCATAATGTTTAAAATACATATAATCAATAAACCACACATTTGTTTAAATGTAGTCATACACACATGAATAAGTAAATCCCATATATGTACATTAAGTAAATCTAAAACTTCTATGCATCAACATCCATAAATGCAAATATGCAACACTATATGTATATAAACCCCACACTTCTATTCATTTGTATTAGTACTGGTAAACCCAACACTTTATGCATATGCATTAGTAAACCCAACACTTTATGCATATGCATTAGTAAACCCAACACTTTATGCATATGCATTAGTAAACTCAACACTTTATGCATATGCATTAGTAAACCCAACACTTTATGCATATGCATTAGTAAACCCAACACTTTATGCATATGCATTAGTAAACCCAACACTTTATGCATATGCATTAGTAAACTCAACACTTTATGCATATGCATTAGTAAACTCAACACTTTATGCATATGCATTAGTAAACTCAACACTTTATGCATATGCATTAGTAAACCCAACACTTTATGCATATGCATTAGTACACCCAACACTTTATGCATATGCATTAGTAAACCCAACACTTTATGCATATGCATTAGTAAACCCAACACTTTATGCATATGTAAGAGTAAAAGCACCCCATACTTTTAAGCACGTCTCAGTAAACAAAACACTATGTTGCGAAATAATAATGGGTCAGTACAAATAGAGTTAATTTATATTACTACTACGTAATCAATACGGTACAATGCTGCAATTTGTATATCATAAATTATATTGAGTTATGTGTTACTTTATTTTTTTTTTTTTTACGAAATAGACATGGGGAATTAAGCTTACTGTATATATCTGACCTGAATCACATCACAGCTGATTCAACTCTGTTTTATTTAAAATCTTGCTTACAACAGTGAGTGCATGAAACCTAACAACTGGTGCACAGGGCAATAACCAGCTGTAGCATTGTTTCGTAACATCGTCTATGTGCGATTGCCGGAAAGTCTTGGTGCATAATGCAAAACAATTTTTAAAATAAATACTGAGAATGTAGTTTGGATTTTCACAAAATCTACTTTTTATGATAGATTTTTCTTGACATCAATCATAAAAGGACAAACTTTTTATGTAGTTTTGCTGAAATTTAGGATAAAATTTAGCATCTTTGACCAGACATGATGTAAATGCCTCTCTCCCTTCTCCCTGAAACACACAATTTGTAAAACAAATTATGATTTATTTAACAACATTCAACGATATAGATTTCAAGTGACAGTACTCTCCAACAACTGAAAATGTGCTTGGGCAAAGAATTATATTCCACAGCAGATTCATATTAGATTCCAGACTTTGTTCATTTTTACAGAGAATTAACCTGTCACATTTTTTGCAGTTAGACATATACAATGTTGCAGTTAGTATATACAACATCACTACATTTATTTACCCTATGAGAATCACTTCTCTGGTGCATGCGAGCCAAACACTTGCATTTTAGAAGTACCCAAAAACACACTAAAACCATACAATGTTTTTATACAAACTATACAGTGTATTTGAGGTTGGTATTTGTCTTGATATGCAAATTAGATATGCTAATAATATGTAAATTAAAATATGCAAATTAGATATGCTAATTAAGTGAATGTTAAAATATGCAAATTAGACAATCTCAGTCATTTCTCAGTCTTAAAAACCAGCATCCAGACTAATCCATTAATATTTGGAAATAGTAATTTCTTGTATTATTTATTCAGGCCAATATGATCTATTCAGGTATCATTGGTATATGATGGTATGAGCATTCATTTTTGTTTCTAACCAGCTTCTGTCAAATTTTCAAAATTATACTTTTGGCTAAAATTTTGAATGATATTTATTTTCTTTGCCAAAAGTTTTCTGTAAATCTACTCAGTGGGAAGCTGGAGATTGTTTCCAACAAACTAATTTGTGTGGAGTCCGGTCAAAACGGGGGCCAAACCTTGGTGGCAGCCATGTATGTTTATATTATTAGAGGATGCTAACACGCGTAATAATTCCATATTTGGAATTCGCATTTCCTAATATGGTAGGATGAAATTCCCCCGTAAAATACCGCAAAATTACGGCACGCTGTAACTTATGGCATCCTGGTGACAGATGTATAATAAAATATAATATGTCTCTTCAGTGAAAATTACTTAAAATACAGTACCAAAACAATATTCAAAACCATGTGGTCAAAATGAAATCCAAGAAGACAAAACAAATTACCGACTGAGAAACAATCAACATATTCAAATCAGTAAGAGAAAAAAAAAATCGATAGATTCCATGATTTTCAAAATTAATGTGGAGAGTGAATATGGTATTCTCCTGGCAGCATTAATTCTTTTTTCAAACTAGAAGATTTTGTAATGTGACAACCCATAGAACAAATACACATAAACAGTTAGAATTAATTGCAATGTACGTACGCCTCACAATTATTATTTATGTTCTGATGGCTTTCTAACATCATTTTAAATATTTAAATTAGTCTGTAACGCGACATCTCAAGTGTTGCAGGTCATCCAAGACCTGAACATGACCAAACAGGTACTGGTAATTGGTTATTTATTTAAAGCAAGCTCAGCCTCTTTTCACGCAGATTTAGGGCAACTACAGATGAATAACGTTTTACATATTGGTTTTTTAAAATAACACATCAGAGTGAGGATTAAGAGTATTATCCTTATTACTGTAGAATACTTTATTTTCGCTTGGAATTTATTTTCGCTGAAGGGATGATTCCATGAAAATAAAATCCAGCGAATATACTTTTTATCCTATATTTAACATTAAACTCATCAAAAATCAGTGAAAATAAATTCCATACAAAACGCCCAAAAAGCCTTTTCAGCGAAAATTTATTCCAGCGAAAATAAAGTATTCCACAGTAGTTTATGTTTTCAGTATATTAATGATTAATAAAGTTAATAATTTATTTACCATTATTAAAAAAAAACAAAAGCTTTGTCATCTTGTTCATAATGTATTCAGCCATCATACAAAACATTAAGGAGGAAAATTGTGTCATTGGCCAGTTTTGAAAGAAAATTATTTAAGTGCATGTTTGTCTTTGCATTGGTTGCTATGGAGAGTATATTTCTTTATATTCTAGAATGTTGCTCATTGACATGAACTGACAAATGTATTGTCATACTGTTATAAATCTGAATTTTCATGAAAAAAAACACAGAACTTTAGAAATATGACAGTATAGTGTGCGTTAACGCTATTACAGTCAAAGAAAAGTCATCTCCCATGATACATTGCACATATGCTCAGTAATACAAAATTTACCACATATCCTGGTCAAGCCAATGTTAAAATACACGGGCTGCCAGGATAAAAGACACATTTGACTCAAACTTCATTGCGTGATATTGACAAATATGACCGAAAATATATGAACCACTTGCAATTTTAACTGTATAAACTAAGCAGCTTCTCTATTATTCTCAAACTTTTGTTATACCAGTATTCTGAGGACATGGTCCTGTAGCTCAATGGCCTCTGACCACTGAAATGATATACATCTTTGTATACATAATTAGAATGTGTTCATTCAGGTTGAAAAATATCAATGTGTTAATCTTCAGAATAGTAGTAATCAGAATTAGTAGCTGAGTTGTGATTATACCGGAAGTTTTTTTTTGTACCAGTATAAAGTCATGATTGATGTCCACGCAAGTTATAAAGGTTTATCCCTTTTCACGACTTCTTTTGTTTTTACTTGCTCTCCGTGATTTGATATTGGATAGTGTTTCATAAGCTTGTTGAATCTCAATGAATTTTGCTTCCGCTTTATCCTTGTCTTCATTTTTGTTTCGATCGGGGTGCCATTCCTTCGCTAGTTTACGATACCGTTTTGTGATCTCTTCTTGCGTAGCCCCTCGATCAAGTTCGAGAACCTATTAAAAAGTGAAAATATATATTATGTGTATTTGGGAGACTATATACTGGTACTAACTGTAATACTCCTTCCAAGACCGGGTAGGCATTTCATGTATTCTCTTTATGTACACAATGTAATCTATTACTGGGATTTCCAGGATCTCACATGGAGTAGACTTAGAATGTTCACTTTCAAGTCTTTACTGTCAGCACTGTTGAGTAAATTTTTGACAATCTGCCATATTGTAACACCAAAACTATGCAATAATATAATATCAAATTTCAGTATATCAGCTTCAATAAAACCATGTAAAGAAGTTAAAATGCTCGTCTATTACTGATAGACACATAGAGTGAAATGATTAGTGCAATACTTACGCGATAAGCATTGTCTTCTCCCAACGGATCCAGAGACTCCACTAACTCCTCATACATTTTATTCCATCCATGTGTTCTTCCTTGCTCATAAAGTCGATAGAGGTTCTCTTTGAACTTCATCCAGGCGGGAGAATGGTAAAAGTGATGAAGAGCCTCACTTAACTTTACCTGTTCTCCATCACTGGTTGTTATGGAAACATTATACAGAAGAAAAAACACCCACATTGTGCTGACAATAGAAACTGTTGAAAAATATAAATAAAAAGTTTTCAGATAAAAAAAATTCAATTCAACAGTACTGGTAGCTTAATTAATATAAATGGGGGAAAAATTATGATTTCTCCCAATTGTTTTTGCATATTTTAACCTCTGTAATACTCTAATAAAAGAGTAATAATGTTATACATAAATTTATAATACCATCATGCAAATAGCAATACTAGAAAATAGATAATGAACTTCCTTTGATGAACATTTTTCCAGGTTGTATGACACAAGAATAATTTTTTTCCTGGGTATTACGTGGTCCTTAGTGTAAAGTAAATACAAGTGGTAGGCCACTGAGTTTTCATGGAAGGGGAATTGTATGTTAATGACAATTACCGGTATCTATACACAGTGATAATGAATGTAAGTGTTGGAAAATTATTTGTTTGGGCACAGCAAATTTGTTTTCGATGGAACCATCAAATTAAAAACTTCAAGAATTTGCAGTGCTTTTGAAAGTTACAATTTCCGTAAAAAATTAAATTTATAATATTCCATAGGAGGAACAGTACAGGTGAAAATAATAATACCAGTAATTCAAAACGTTGATTTTCACAACAACAACACTCACCTCCAACTCCTAAAATTGTGATTCGCTTACAGATGTTTTTCTTTTTAGGCACAACTTGTCGGTATCTTTGGAAATATTGTGCGACAAATGCACAAACGATTGTTGTGTGAACGACTGTGTTAGGGTTCGTTAAAATAAAAATAGACATGGCATATGCCGCAAGTAAAACATATTTGAACGATGTGGTTCTTCTCCCAATATTTGCAACGATGTCCACGCCAATAGCGATGGCTGCTGGCACAAGAAGAACGCGTACATATGTGTGTTTCTCGGCAAACTCTTCAGGGACGGCCAACATTGCGAGATAACCAAGAAGGCAACCCATGAAGAGTTTGGCAGCGAACCGACCGCCGTGGAAAGGGGGTGTGCCATGGTATCGCATTTCCTCCACGAAATGTCGTATGAATTCGGTGTCTTCATTTGCGTCGGCAACGTAAGACGGTATTCTCCATAAATCACGAAGCCAACCCATTCCAAAACCACCGCCAAACGAAGACCACCAAACAAATGCTTGCCGATCGCGGCCAAGATAGAAGTGATGAAGACCGGTCCAACCAAAGAAAAACCACAGAATATACGTCACTACAATGCTTTTAGCCATATTTTGCGCTCAGTAAATACTCTCTTTCGTGTACAAGTATCCACTACGAGGTAATAATTATCATTATTGTACTATAACTGTAAACTTCTTGGACGTACACACTAATTTATATATTACAGGAAGTCTGTACCCACAAACCCGGAAATACATGTGTGGCGACCGGATTGGTCCATGTAACCCTCTAACTTTATGCGCAAAGTATAACACCATCTGTGGCTCCAAATTATAAAATACGCGATGCCATAAAACTTGTAAATAATTTGTAATGAAAATATTCGTCGTTATATGACGAATTCGAAATCGTTTTTATATATTCTTTAACCACGTTGAGAAATAAATTTCGAGGAAATATCTAATAAACTAGCAGACGAAAGAACCACGTAACTCGATGGATAAAGTAAGTTTACGTTTCCATGCAGCTGTACAGCTGTCAGGTTGGATGCTTAGTAATAGTGTTGCCTTGTTTTTAGGTGGAACTCGATTGCTGCGACATCGTTCAAGTAGAGAATGACGAAAATACAGTATGCAATACATGGTAGCGGTATGCTTAAATAGGACGACTGTAAATCGGCGTTAATTGGTGTGTGAACTTGACTAACGTAACAACAAAATGGATCGCTCTCCTGGACATCTGTCTAAAAATGTTAAAGATATTGTGGACTCTCTGGTTTGGATAAAAGTGGTGGCCGTTGGAAGTGTCGGAGTCGGCAAAACCTGCCTCATTAAACATTTTTGTGAAAGCAAGGTAATGTGGAGATGTGGTACGAATGCGTATTTCGTTGGATACTTGTCTGACCTCGAAATCGTCGACCGAGTGCTGAGTTTGCCGATCTGATTTCATTTAGTTCGCCGCCAACGGCAATCTCAGTTGACGCTTTCAGAATGAGATTAAGGATTTATTTGAGTACTTGAGGCATTTTGATTTTCTGCACATATGTCATCCAAATGGCCACCTTTTTTGTTATCCCTCTCATTCTTTTTATCAAATCTTTGCTACATGCACACCAATATAGAAATATTATTACCGGTTTATTTATAATTTTATTTACTTGTTCTTTGCTACAGTTGTAAGTAAATGAATTATAATTATTCTGTTAAATATACGAAGGTCTCTCAATTATATTTGTTTTTAGTTCACATCATCATACCAAGCTACAGTGGGTGTGGACTATGGATTTAAAATACAGAATATCAATGGAACAGACTGTAAGTATATGACAATTCGTTTATTTCCTTGAATATTTTCTTAAATACACACTCACAGAAAAAATAATACTATGTATAAATATGCAAGGAAAGGGGAAATACTTGAAGCAAAGCTTGTCAAATATATTTCCCCTTTTTTAAATTAGTTTGTAGATTACTTCTTTGCTAGCAGATTTGACAGATTGTTACTTATCCAAATTAAAAATAAATTTAATACAACAAAAGATATACATGTCTCTAAGTTTAATTTTGGAAAATATTTAAATCTGCTAAAACAGTGGCATGTAAATTATACTACACTATCAATATAGTTATTCAATAATTCACGTTTATATACCTTTTTAAATAAGGAACAATTGAAACAATTTTGAATGTTACTAGGAATACCATTCCAGAAATGAGTCAAACACATAGATTTTAATGTTGTTCTTTTATAATTGATTTTAAAAAGATTATGCTGTATTGTAATTATGAACTTGATCAGTGAGCATAAAATATTTTTGAATATGAGCTGGAAGCAGAGAATAATATGCTTTGTACATTGTAACAGCAGTATTCAATATAATCAAATCAAAAATTGTAAGAATCCCAAGTGAATAAAAAATGGGATTCGTTTCATGATAACCTTGGGGCTTTAACATTCAATAACTGTAACTTGCTTTTATTTAAAGTAGAATGATACTCATGCGATTTTAATGTGTGTTCATATTTAGTGCACATTGTAATGACAATATTTTGTATAAAAATCAGTCTATAATTAATCATTTTAGTGTCAGGACTTTGTAAAATGAACTGTTAATCTGCAGACTGTTAGTCTGTTTTCCGAGAAAAAGTGTTTGTAATATTGCCTAAAATGGCAATTCATCAGTGGCTTCCAAATAAAACAATGAAAACATTTCGTCATTAACAAGAGAATTAATTTCAAATTTAGCTCATAATTACAGGTACCTCTTAATATTATCATACTTTTTTATTATTTTTTTAAGTGAGAGTTCACCTGTGGGACTTATCGGGACATCCAGACTACGCCGATGTACGATCTGAGCTTTACCGAGATACCCAAGCATGTTTTATCGTCTATGATGTTACAAACTCTGCATCGTTTGAACATTTAGAATTGTGGTTGAAAGAGTTGCTGAGGTGTGGTGCTGGTAACTCATATACGCTGGTCGTAGCTAACAAGGTTTGCTCAAGTTTTGAATCATTAAATATTTGTGTTTTTAATATCGCGATTTTCATGAACGAACAAAAATAGTGAAATAACAAATTTGTAAAGATGTTGCGGTGCCCAATCATAGTTTAATAGTTAGGTCCTGGCTAATTGCTGTTGTTGAGAACTGTACATACACTGTCTTGTATAATAGAGCTAGAATTCTTTATTGAGATGCGTCATTCTTAATTTTCTTTTTGATTATATTTTGATTATTATGCAACAAGAAAAATTATTGAAAAGGGAATGAACACTAGTCAGAGTGCATAAATCCATGGATTGCAATAACTCTAAATTTTGCTTCCCCAATCCCCTTATTTTGGCAAAAATGGATCCTATTTGTGATACATTTACATATAGATACACAGACTAAAAATTCATTTGCACTTTCTTTTAATGAGACATAAAAATACTCAAACCATTATTGATTATGATTCTGTCTCATGCAGATAACCCTTAATAGTTTACAACCTCTGCAGTGCCTAGGTTTATCTTATCAGCCATGCAAATTTATTCAAACATACTATGAGCCAAAGTCCTGTGTACATGCTGGGAAATCCCCAAACAATGTAAACTGCAGGTAAATTAAACATTGACTGAATTTTAAGAAAGGATGATAACATTTCCCACAATATGTTTGTTTTTGCAGACTGACCTAGATTCCAAGAGAGTTATTAGTGTGGATGAAGGTCGGAAATGGGCTGCAGCTCACAAACTGAAGTAAGATATTAATACTACATTCTGATTCAAATTTGATGTAGAACTATCTATGTCAAATTCAGATCTCACAGTGAAAACAACCAATCAGAACTCTAGGCAAGTTGCTTGAATGAAATTTGCATATTAGGTAGTTGGTCAGGTGAATAATGTACACATCAATGATGTAGAATGTGAAAACAAAAGTTTTATGCAGAAAACTGTTTGAGGGTGCTATAACCTCAACTAGTCCGACTTTGGACAACTTCTAATTACATCTACAAGAGGAATACCCAGTAATATGATAGTTTTGTAACATTTTCAGATATTATGAGACATCAGCACATGGTGGAGATGGAATTGAAAAAATGTTCACTGACTTATTAACAGCTGTCGTATCCAAGAAACCATTACAATATCACGGCGATATGTAAAGTTGTCCTTATCTAACTGCACGTAGAAGCTCAGGGAACTGAAAAAAACTTACTGTGTGCTAAACATAGACGTTCATGTCTTCTGCAAGCTGGGATTTGTATGCAGGAGAACACAATTGTTGAATATTACTGGCTTATAATCTAATACTGTAGAATACTTTATTTTCGCTTGGAATTTATTTTCACTATTTTTGCTGAAGGGATGATTCCGTGAAAATAAAATCCAGCGAATATACTTTTTTTCCTATATTTCATATTAAACTCATCAAAAATCAGTGAAAATAAATTCCAAGCAAAACGCCCAAAAAGCCTTTTCAGCAAAAATTAATTCCAGCGAAAATAAAGTATTCCACAGTAAATAAAAGCAGGGTGTATCACATCACATATACCTACCATGGAATAGGTCTGTGGATGTGGAGATTAACATAAAGACTTGTGTCTGCGGGCAACACAATGAATTATTTTGTTATATAAAGTGAAGAAATGTCATCAGCTTTGCATGATTGGACAGCCTGCAAGTACCCAAAGGTGTTTTATTTATATTCAAGGGAGTTGTCATCATGCCTGGAGATAATAAGCTGTCACCAATCACGGGTATAAACAATGTAGGCTACTGAGTGAGAGACAAAAGTTTGTGAATTCTACCAGTAGTAGTGATAATTTCACGGGGGTCCTTGAAACAATTAGACTCATTACTGTAGTCCTTGAACAGGGATACATGTAAACATTTCATTGGGATGCTTGGAACAAGGATTCTAATGAACAAATCACTGGGGCCCTTGAGACAGGACTCACAATGAACATTTTACTGGGATCCTTGAAACAGGGACTCACAGTGAACATTTCACTGGGGTCATTGGAACGGGCATTCACAGTTAACATTTCACTGGGGTCATTGGAACGGGCACTCAGTGAACATTTCACTGGAGTTCCTTGAAACAGGCACTCACAGAGAACATTTTACTGGGTTCCTTGAAACAGGCACTCACAGAGAACATTTTACTGGGTTCCTTGAAACAGGCACTCACTATGAATATCTTGAATATAAATATCTTTGACTTGAATTAACTTGTAGCAGCAAAATTAAGATTTGCATTTTTTTGGATGAATTTGTGAATTCAGTTCTGCTTTATAAAAATGTTGGGATGCTTCGAATAAGGATTCTAATGAACAAATCACTGGGGTCCTTGAGACAGGGACTCACAGTGAACATTTCACTGGGGTCATTGGAACGGGCATTCACAGTGAACATTTCACTGGGTTCCTTGAAACAGGCACTCACAGT